CCATCAAAAGTAATTAAAGCATCTCAAAAAAACAGCTTTGTCTCCTGAACCACAGTGTTCCTTATGTATATAATGAGGGTGAAATATTACATACTAAAACCTGCTAGATCAGCTCAAATGAGGGTGTGATATATTCCAAAGTTCTGTCATCTAATGTGTATCAGGAATACAGCAATGTATAGGTATGAAGGGATGAGCAGCTGGCAGCCTGCTCTTGCAGCCTAGGTAGGCCACAGTGCACCCAACGGAGGTGATGTGCCCTCACATCCGCTAGCCTCCATTGGTGCATTATGGAGCACTACCTGTACCACTAGTGTTTATAATATACTGTCAGGAGAAAAGAAGGCCAGGGTTTTTTGGTGTCATACCTGTTGCTACAAATAAATGAGCTAATCCATCTTTGATTTTGCACTTTAAGAAGACTTAGAATCGCCATCTTTTGCCTACAAAAAGTAGCTTGAATAACATAACACCCAGACTGTATTGGTCTGTTCTTCAGGTGAATTTAGTAATACAGTTAAAAAAAAAAAAATAAATCTGTGCTCAAATGCAGAAAAATATCTCCCCCTGCTGGACTTTGTAAAGATGACTCTTAATTTCATGAATACAAATGAGAGGTGAGGTTATAATAAAACTACAGCTTGTACAGCATCCTCAATGGATATGGCGCACAAAAAGTTATAAACTCCCAATCGCCTTTATGCTTTTCATTATACTCTTAATTTTAGTTGCATTTGGTTTAATACATCAGCCCATTGTGATCATTAGTTTCATTTCAATGATCTCTGTTTGGCAAGGGTGAGCACATTGGTCTGAAGTGTTACCTGTTTTATGGATAAATGCAACCAGATAACAACTGCCAATGTCGTCTCCCAGATTCACAGCCAGAATTCAATTATACTTTAAACAACTCTGTAGATTAAAGAAGGGTTTATCTTGGCCTGGAAGATACTGAAGCAGACCTTTTAATCCTTAGTTATTGCATTTGTCAATTGGCTCTGTGGGGCGGTTTCTTTAATTCCTTATAGATGTTACGAAAAGGCAATAAAAAGAAAAAAAATGGCAAACCTATAAAGGAGAGTTCTAAAATTTGTTGCAAATATTCCTAAATGCACTGACTATTCTGAAGGTAAAAAAAAAGCTGAACAAATGCATAATTGCTCTACAGATCTTTTTGGAAAAAGCAGATAAATTTCTAGGTGATACGACACAAAAGAGTGTACCTGAAAATTGTGTGCCATTAATTAACTCTAAATACTTTGGAAATTCAGTCAGGGGAAGTGTACTTTGACCAGATCAGTGCAAATAGTCATGCCAGAATTCCAGCTCTAGAAGGGGGAAAATCAGCGCATCCAGTGTGACTTCTAATGTGAATAAGACTGTGGTTGGTGAAGAATGGTAGGGTATAATGTATTTTCACAGAACCATAGAATCAGTCATTTGGGCTGGAAGGAACCTCTAAAGGTCATCTAGTCCAACCCGCCGCAATGAGCAGGGACATCTTCAACTAGACCAGGTT